TCTGCGAACTACAGTGAGGACAAACCTTTCATAACATATAAGTAAACATTAAGGTAGTGTAAAAGGATATCGTGCAGTACGTTCTATGTTGCAAGTCCAAAAACTCTGCAACCATGATTATACTTAATCGGATCTCATTGCAAACTCCTTCCTTCCCCATTTCCTGCTCCGTCTTGAGTTTTATTCATTTTCCTTCATCACATGTTCGTCCTCTTCCTCCCATTCTTTGCTTCTCAAATCACTATTCTAATCACATGATTATGAGAGGAATAACGAAATTGTGAAAACGCGCATAAACACCCACCTCAAAAAAAAAAAAAGAAGAAAAAAAGAAAAGAAAAATCAAACGCTCCAGTTCCTCCATACACCTTTACAATATAAACAAAAAGAGACAGAAACAAGAGCAGATAGATAGAAGGGCAGGTAAGTATTTAAAGATGCAAACAGAAATTAATGCATAAAAGTAGACTTGGTTCGTCTCCGTCGGGGCTCAAACCCGAGTCTGTCGCGTGAGAGGCACATGTGCTAACCAGTACACCACGGAAACATCTGCCTTGTAATGGAATTTTACTATAATTAAAATTTAGCATATATATATTATATATATATATATAGATAGATAGATAGATATATATATATATATATATATATATATATATATATATATATATATATATATATATACATTACACTGAAATAAATCTAATGTTAAAGAATTATGATAAAGTTGCCGACCTCTTCTTGGATCTTTCAAGAACCTGTTTTCGTAAAAATTAAGCAATCTACCAACGTTTCAAAAATAAGAAACAGTTTTGTATGTTTAATATTAGGACTCTCTCTCTCTCTCTCTCTCTCTCTCTCTCTCTCTCTCTCTCTCTCTCTCTCTCTCTCTCTCTCTTTCCCTTCCACTCATTTGCCCTCTATCTATCATATCACTACTCATCACAGACTTCCTAATCATCAATATCATTAGAATACGTATTTCATAAATACCAATAAGACATATAGTTTACTTACAGGTGTTACCACTCTCGATTGTAAGTCTATATTTATTTATCGAAATTAAGGGTTCGAGGAGTCAGCACTAATATAAATATATACATCAATCGCAAACGAAACTATCTTTTAATTTAAAATTTCTTAAAGTTAAATAAATGCATTTGTTCCCTCCTCCATACATGTTAATAAATCCATCAAATGCAATACCCATCTCACTGAGTTTCATATTCTCCTAAATTTATATAACTCCATTAGTTGATCTCGTACATATTCCTCGACAACCATCCATTAGAAGACATTGGACACTGGCCAGCTATATGCTGATATCTGTTTCACAAGAGTCAAAATATCTAAGAGGTATCACCGATGATTCCTGCTGAATATGTAAAATGCAATCCCGTTTCTTCAATTTTTATTCTATAGCATGTGGCATTTCTTCCCAACTCGCTACTTTTTGCATACATTTAGTAACCATTTCTTCAATAGTTGTTCCACATTAAAGGATGTTCAGCTGTTGCCATGATAATAATAAGAATGATAATGATGAAAATAAAAATAATAATAGCATAATGATAATAATAGTTATAATAGTAATATCAATAATCAAAATATAGTTATGAAAACCTAATACATACTAATGCTAAAACTGATAAGAGTACAACCACAAAAGGTAATAACATAGATAGTGATAATGATAGGTGTAATCACAACAGTGATGATAATAATACTAATTGTAACGCCTGTCATACTAATAGTAATTAAAATAACGATGATAATAACAATGACAGTAGTATCTGTACTGCTACTAATAATCATACAATTACTATTACTAATAAAGATAACACTGATATTAATATGAGTAATGCAAAGGATATTGATAATCAAAACGATGATGAAGATGGTGATGGTGATGCGATGATAAAGATGATATTTAGGATAGTAATAAAGGCAATTGTCATCATAATAGGGATAGTGTATACTTATTATAAAAGTATTACTTAAAACGACTATGATGAAAACGATAAGGGTAACGTTAATGATGATGGTCAATCTCTGAATATTTTCTACTCTCTCTAAATCTATTCCTCCCATTCTTCATAATGATGCTTATGATGGGTTTATCAACTATGATAACAAGGGTAATGCTGGAAAATGAGGGAAATAATAGTATAGAGAGATATGGGTGGATTGAGAAGAAATTATTTGGTGACGATTGTACATAAATTTGTAAATCAGTTTTGTAGGCTGACAGATAATAATACGAATTTCATATCAATGACAAGTTTCTCGCATCGTCTGTCTCTGTCTCTCTCCTCTCCCTCTCTCTCTTAGTGAAAAAATCATAACTAAAAAAGAAAAAAAAAACTTGACGCGCGGAAACCTCCAGAATATCAAAGACTCTGTACAGTTATGATAAACACTTTATCCTAGAGCCCTTCCGTGAAAAAGTGCGCACGAGCAATCAGAACGTAACGTTTCTAGCACAAACTAATAGCGTATGTCAAAGTCCAAAAAAGAACTGGCAGAGTTAACGAGCGAAACCATACTTAGCTTTGACACTAATCATCTACGACTCCTATTATATGTTCTATAACTAAATTCAAGAATATATCAGGAGAAGGTGTCTCCTATCACTGCAGCGCCTGTAGAATATGTAGAAACAGGGGAAGAACTACTCTGGTAGAAAAGAGAGGACAACCCTCCGCAGCTGAACCCTCTCCTGCGTTTCATTGCCTGTGTCATTGCATGTGAAGTAATCAACGACTCAAGTGCCTCCCTTGTTGGAAACAGATACATGACTCCAATCACCTAGATGTGAACTCACTTTGCCGTTGACGAACATTCACCTGCATCGCTCAGCCATGATATAAAATGTTTCCCGCGCGCGTCACCCACCTTGCCAGTGCCTTTCCTCTCCCCTTTCGGCGCGGAACCACTGGCTGCGTCACGTGACCCGATTCCTGAAAGGAAGTAGCCCGCGGCGAGGCTGAGATTGGGCTCGCGAGCGGAGGCGGTGCTGAGGGAATCGCTGGACAATCCATCTGATCCTCGCCGAAGGAGGATTTGCCGCGGGAGATATACAGCTCGAAGTGGAAATTAAAATTTTAAAGATTTGTGTTCAAAAGTAAGGACAGAATCTATGTGCAATTCCAAGCATTGATATGAAGTTACCAGTATTTTTATATCCCTTTACTGGCTTCCCAAAACATCTGTCTATCCCTGAAAATGTCGAGTAGCAATACAGATACTTATTTCTGAACATCAGTGGAAATCAGCTGTAATCTTTGGAGCGTTTTGTAGATTTAATACTACGATCGTCTTGAAAGTAGTTTTAGTATCATTCCATGTCAACGATAAAAACTAATTACGCAATTATTGGTTTACATTTGAATTCATGTTAGATAAAATCTTGTTTCTATCATAAATTTATAGCTCGGAACTTCTAGCCTGCTCGATAAACATGCGAAATTTTATTATTTCATTTATCTATTTTATTTATTATTATTATTATTTTACTTTCTAATCATCATTGTTACTAATATGGGTGTATTTGTAACCACAAACTCGAAAGAAAAAACAGAAAGAATGGGGACTCGAACCCCTGTTCCCCCGCCTCGAAGGCGGGGGACTATTGTGCAAATGCTGTTCGGGGAAAATAACTTGCAAGGTTGTTGTTCGTGTTTGGTTTGCATTTCCTTTGCGTGTGGGGGAGGGTGGCATACGATGACATTCCCAAGCTGATAGATAAAGAATAAGGAAAATAAAGAGAGAGAAAGATAAACAGACAGATATAGACAGACGCCATAGCTTAGTTTACGTTCAAAAATTAAAGAAAGAAAGGATAGGGAAGGGTAAGAAGCGAATTGGTGGATGGAAAAGAGAGAGAAAAAAAAGAACCTGCTACGAATAAAGGTAATAGTGAATCACGCTAATTGTAATTAGTGGCAGTCGATTAGAATAGTGACGCAAATGAATAGTATAAAAAGGGTAATACGTGATAGTAATAGTAATAATGGCAATGTAGATAAACATCAGTATATGAATACCGGACATTTGTATTCGAAAAATCCTTTTCAGTGTATTATATTTTTAGTTGAAAATCCTCGAATAGACATTTCCCGCCTGATTGCTTCAGGAATTCATAGTTTAAAGGAACCATGAAAGTCTATTTTCATCTCTCTCTCTCTCTCTCTCTCTCTCACTCCCCCCCCCCCTCTCTCTCTCTCTCTCTTGCCCATCACTATTTATTAATAATATCCATTACCAATTATTATAAATTGGCT